TTCTTCTTCTTCTTCTTCTTCTTCTTCTTCTTCTTCTTCTTCTTCTTCTTCTTCTTCTTCTTCTTCTTCTTCTTCTTCTTCTTCTTCTTCTCCTTGCATTTTAGTAAGGTCTACAGGGCCTACAGTGTCTCACTGTGTAAATCAGACTTATAATGATCTGCCTGTGTTCAGCCTCCCAAGAGCTGGGGTTATAGGCACATGCCACCACACCCAGTCTCAACCGACCATCTCAGCATACCCTGGGAGCAGGGCCATCACAGCACGCCAGGGATCCAACTGTTGCATCTGCCTAAGCAGGTGCTTTAATCTACTGAGCTATTTGGCCAGCCCTTTTTTTTTTTTATTTTGAGGTAAGATCTCACTAAATTGCTCAGGATGGTCTTGAATATATAATCTTCCTGCTTAGGCCTCCACAGTAGCTAGGATTACAGGTGTGTGGCACTATGCCCACTATACTATACTGTGTGGCATGATTTTTGTTGTGTATGTTTACTGGTTGTGATGGTTTGTGTCTAGATGTTCCCCCAAAGCCTCATGCAGCCATTGGGGCAGCGGGCTTCTGGAGTCTGTGATTCATGCTAGGATTATGGGTGTGAGTGCTACACTCTCCCTGGGCAGACAGCCTGAGTACAATATAAGGGAGGGAGAGAGGCTGCTGCGCCCGCATGGCTGCTCCTCCCTTTTGGCTCTCCCTGTTTTCTGCAGCCATGACCTGCTGCCCTCTGCCATGTATCACTCTGTGTTGGAGCCTACTGAGTATGGACTGAAACCTTCACAAACTGTGAGCTAAATAAACCTTTCCTCCCTTAATTCTGGGTATCGGGTATTTTGTCCCAGCAATGAGAGAAAAGTAACTGAGACACTGGTTGTATGGATTCATCTGTATTTCCTCCACTGGTCACACCAGAGGCTGCTTGGTTTTGGACACTATACATGGGAAGGACCCGGAATTGGGTAGTCCTGCTGCAGGGCACCTCCTGGGCAGGTGATGCACCAGGACCCACTGCTGCCTGTCCTGCAAAGAGCAGAGAGCCAGGGGAGCTGGCAGCCAAGACCCAGGATGAGCACCTTCTTCTGGAAATGAGCTGACATCGGCCCGGACCATAGAGCCCACTGGATGGTTCATGAACAGAGACAAGGTATTCAGGAACTGATGCCTGGGGGACAGGCCCCTGGGGCACTGGCCGAGGACAGAGTCTGTCCACACCTGCTGGGAGCTGCCCTGTCCTCGGGTGACTTCACCTGGGTTCCCCCTATGAGATGCCCTCACCTAGGGGGCCCCTGTGCTCCCCGCCGCATCTCAGCCTCAGCCTTTGCTGTGGGTTGTGCAGTGGGCAGAAGCTGAAGCCATGAGGGAAGAGGCCCTCTCTCCCGGGTCAGCTAGCTGGAAAAATGTGTTTATAGTTTCTGGGGACATTCTTGAGACCCCACCCAAGAATGGTGGACAGAATGTGAGTCTAAAGATGTGAAGAGAGTGGAGAGGGAGAAAATACAACGTTGCTTCTGTCAAGAGTTCCACTTCTGCATCCCACCACCTGCACTCACCTTTTCAGTGGTGTAAGTCAGTAACCACCTTTTCCTTTCTTTTGCATTGCAGTTTTTCTCTGTGTTCCTACAGGTCCTAATAGATGCTGGTATAGCAAGGAAGGAGCCAAAGCTCAGAGCTGGGACAGGAGTGCCGGAGTGCTCCTGCTGGCAACGGCAAGGGTGACAAGCATGTGGCCCTGATGTTGCCGCCTCATGGTGTGGCCCACACTACCCAGGGCACACAAGGAGGGGCACAACCACAGGTGCTGGGGTGGCAGGGGCAGGGCCTCTCTTCTTCCACTCCTGTCTGGTGCAAGGGTTTTGGTGGAAACAGAACCAAGCTGTAATCATGCCTGGGGTGAGACTGAAGTTTGAACTCAATAATCAAATTCAAATAGCTAGGCTTACTGAGGCATGCCTGTAACCCAGCACTCAGGAGATTAAGGCAGGAAGATTGCTGTGGGTTCAAGGCCAGCCTGGGGTACAAAATGAGTTTGAGTTCAGCTTACACTATAAAGTCAGAGCTGGGACTGGAGTCTCAGAAACTCTGCAGGTGTCTGAGGCACTGTCCTGGCTAAGAGTCAATGCTGCAGGTGACACAAGTGACACAGTGACACTGGCACCAAGGGTGATTGGTGATTAGGCTGGCAGTTTTGCTTACTTAAGACAGTGATGTGTCATTGAAGTCAGGCAGGTTGTTCAATTAGTTAAATGCATTCACCAAATCCCCGGGTTCATTCACTTTGAGCACAGGCAGAGAAAGGAGAACACAGGGTCTCAGCCACAGCCGGATGCAGAATGACCTCGCACCCACCGAGAGAGGGCGCTAAACAAGACAGAGCCACAAACAGCAGTGTGCCCCTCCGTGGCCACCAGAGGGGGCGGCTTTGCGAGTCTCCATCCTATGAAATACCCTGACCAGGCTAACCCACGGAGACAGGTGCCCACCAGTCATTGCTAGGGGTAGTGAGGGGCAAGAAGAACTGCTAAAGAGTTGCGGGGTCCTGTGGGGATCCTGAGAAAGCTCAGGGCTTCTTTCTAGGTGCTGAGAGGCACAGTTGTGTAAACAATGAGTGTACTTACTGGCACTGATTGTACCATTTACAGCAGGCAAACTTTATCTTATGTATTTAAGCAAAATTTCCTTTTTTTCTTTCTTTTTTATGTATTCGGTACAGGGTCTCACTACACAACTCAGACTTGTAGGGATCCTCCTGTTTTCAGCCTCCCCAGTGCTAGGATTACAGGCACGTGCCACCATGCCCAGTCTTGGTGGTTGCTTGATGTGACCGAGGCAGGGCTGGCATGCATGCAGCTGGGGATCAAACCCCAGTGCTTGCACTTGCCTAGGCAGGCACACACTTAGACCACTGAGCTATCTCGGTGGCCCCTTTCTTCTTGAGACAACGGTCTCGCAAAGGAGCCCAGGCTGGCCTTGAACTCAAGGTGATCCTCCTGCCTCAGCCCTCCTGAGTGCTGAGATTACAGGCATGCATCACCACACCATGCCCACCCTAAGCAAAAATTTCAAAAGGGAGTTTGGCAAAGCAGTTGGCTGTGTTTGGCAACCTAGTGGTTTCTGTGTGGTTCCTGCAGTGGCACAGCCTAGGCCCTGGCAACAGTGGCTAGTGGCATTTTATTGGTAGGACAGTTCTACCAAAGTCTTTTGTGTGGAAACAAAATTATCACTCCTAGGGATCAACTGTACCCCCATGAGGTGGGCTTCGCTGTCCCTGTCCCTTTTTACAGAGGCCAATCCTGGGACAGCTGTGGTCCAGGGTGGATCCCCAGCAGGTGTGCCTGAAGGCATGCCACCGCCAGGGAGCCTCCAGGAGGTCCCACACCCATGCAGTCTGGTGAGGAGGCTGAGGGTAGGAAGCTGACATGGTACCTCATTGCAACGTCCTGTCCCTGTGCAGTAACTGACCAGTCCTTGTGTCTTTGATGGTCCCAGAGGAGTGCTATGGCCTGGGCCTCGTCAACCTGGGCCAGGGTCACATTGTACTCAGCAGCAGTGGCGGCAGCTGCTCCTTCGCATCACCATAGCTGTCTGCTGTGTCCCAGGACTCTGACTCCCAGCAGTCTCTTTTTGGAGTGGAAAAGGGCATGAAGGAAGATTCACAAGAGGGCCCTTGGGGGACAAGTGGCCAGGTGCACTATCTGTACTCCAGCACCCTGGGCAGAGCCTGGCATCTCAGGAGCCACGCTTCCACCTGCACAGTGTGCCACTTCCCAGTGCTGGGGGGCATCTGGATGCCCGTTTGCCACTTCTGCCACAGTGCCAGCTGCTGGATCACCCGGGTCTCTCCATCTGCACTCCATCTCCAGGCCACCTTCCAGCTGCAGGCCTCCTTCTTGTCCGAAGCTATCTTCTCTATCAATGGACGATCCCACATACCTGAGCCCCCAGTGTTCAAGGCAGGGAGGCTTCTAGACACAAATCTGCCTCCATCCATGCTGGCCCAACCTGGGCCCAGATCCCCAGCACTTTAGGGTCAAGATGAAGCCCTGCGTTGGCTGGCAAGGCTGTCACTGCCATCTTCCTGCCACCTCACCCTCCTCCTCAGCTCTCTGCACTGGTAAGGCCATGAGCACCAAGTCCATTGCTTAACTTCTCTGAACCTCACAATCCTACACTAAAATGTGCCTAACTCAGAGTTCATTCAATACATCATCCCTGTTTCCTTTAAAATAAGACTTAACCAGAAAATAAGTGTGGATTGTTACCACGGTGGTGGCACATGTCCGGCCCAGCAGTATTCCTCGTCATTGTCCTGTCAGGGCTGCTCTGGAGTGGCAGGCCAGGCTTGGCAAGGGCACTGGCATGCTGGATCTCTAGTTTCCAAGCTGATCATTTTCTGCCTAGGGCTTATTCTCAGGGAAACAGGGTCTGATCACTTCCCTGTTGGGCTTCGGCTACACTCTTTTAGAACTGTGCCACTGACTCCTCCTGGTATCCCAGGGCTTGTGAGTTCCACGCCCTGGTCCCTAGAGGAGGCCAAGGCCTTCAATAGCTGCTACTTACCCGAGGAAAGTGGGGGCTGGGTACAGTCACAGTCCAGGGCCCAGCCTTTTTTTTTTTTTTTTTTTTGGTCTACTGAGAGCTTCATGGGTAGTTTGTCTTTAATTATTTTTTTTCTTTTTTAAAATTTTCATTTATTTATTTGTGTGTGTGTGTGGCCAGCTCAGCCCACCAGGGGGCGGGGCTGGCTGGCATGTGGTGCTGGGGGATTGAACCGCGATCCCTGTGCTTTGCTAAACTTGTTCTAAGTAGGTGCTTTAGACCACTGAGCCATCTCACCAGCCCTGTCTTTAATTATTGAGACAGGGTCTTACTCTCTATTTCAGGCTGGGCTAGAATTCACTATATAGTTCATGTTGGCCTTGAACTCATTTAGATGTTCCTGCCTCGGCCTCCTGAGTGCTGGAATGACAGGTGTGTGCTACCATGCCCAGCTGTAATTTATCTTTCTTTATCCTGGAGATACCTTCAGCAAGAGGAACCTTCTGAGGTCTCTAGATTATCTAAACAGCAGCATTTTAAGGTAATAACAGAGGCCCCCACATGTGGTTCAACCTAGGTAGGAGTGCACCTGCCCCTCCTCTTATAACTTTCCCACCAATGGGACTTGGGCCCAACTCCAGAAGCTGATTAGATTCTTGTGTCCTCCACTGGAAGGGCCTGGTAGGTAGGTGTCTGAGCCTGTCTCGCCATTTAATTGCTCTTGAAAATGGGAAGTTAGGGCTGGCCAGATAGCTCAGTGGATTAAAGCATCTGCTTAGGCAGATGCAGGGACTGGGATTCAGTTGGCATGCTGTGCCGGCCCACCCCCGAGGTGCACTGAGATGGAGATTAAGACTGGCGTGGCCTATAATCCCAGCATTTGGGTGACTGAAAACAGGAGGATCACTAGGAGTCCAATCTTGTAGTTAGACCCTGTACTAAATACTAAAAAACAAACAAACAAAGACCAGGAGTTAGGTGTCTAAGCAAACACCCCCACCCCCATTCCCCACCAAACCCACCCCTGGCAGTGATGGCTCTGATTGGCTCATTTCTGACCCCTCCTCAATCTAGTAAAGCTCTTTGCTTGTGGGAAGTTACAATGTTTCACTCTGTATTGATCCACTAATCCTTTACTCCCTCATTCACCACCCTGACACAGAACCAAGCATGCTCCAGGCAGGGGATGGAAGAGATAGCAAAGGCACAATTAAAAGTGAACTATCAGTTAGAACTTTAGAAAATTTTAAAAAATACGAAAATTCATTTTTTCCCAGCCAGGTATTCATACACCCATGTTCTGTCACAATTCACAATATATCTCTCAAGGTGGCTCATGCCTGTAATCCTAGCACTCAAGAGGCTGATACAGGAAGATTGCTACAAATTATAGGCCACCCTATGCTACATAGTGAGTTCAAGGCCAGCCTGCACTACAGAACAAAATCCTGTCTCAAAAAATAAAAACAAAACCAAACAAACAAAATTATTTCCAGCTGGGCATGCTAGTGCACATATGTAATTCCAGGTACTTGGGAAGCTGAGGCAAGAGGATTTCAAATTACACCCCAGACTGAAAAATATAGTGGCTTAGCAAGACTTTGTCTCAAAATAAAAGAACAAAACCTCTGGAAATGCAGCTCAGTGTGTAAACCCAAAGTTCAAATTCCACTGCCCCCCCCCCCTTTGGCTGGAGTGACCATGGAGACGGGGACAGGTGTCTCTTGCAATGTAGTTCAGGCTGGCCTTGAACTCATGACAATCCTGCTGCTGCCTCCCAAATCCTGGGCTTACTGGCATGTGCCACCATGCCTGGCTCCAGGAGGCTTTGGGCCCCAGCTCCCCTGATGATATTTCTGTGGTTACTTTGTGAAGCCTTTTCCTTAACAGTAGAGGACTTTAGGCCAACATGTTTGGATCTTTGCATTGGAGACCACTCCTCAAAATGATTAGGAGACAGAGAAACATTTAATTTACGGGTCCTAGTCTGAACATAGAGGTTAGGTTGCTCTGGCAGGGAGAGACTAAGGCACTGTGGGCCAGTGACTCAACTGAGGTCGATTTTTTATTTTTTATTTAAAGACAGGGTCTTTCTGTGCAGTTGAGGCTGGCCCTGACCTCACTATGAAGACCAGACTGGCCTAGAATTTGCAGTGATCCTCCTGCCTCAGCCTCCCCAGTGCTGGGATTATAGGTGTGTGCTACCACACCTGGCTTTTAAATAACCTTTTTTTTTTTTTTCCCAGGGAAGTTTTAATCTGTGGGATTTAAAGTCAGCTGGCAGTTCAAGGAGATGTCTGCTGTGGCTATCTGCACTGTGGAGTGGGGGAGGGATGGGGGACCCGGCTAGCCTGGCCCAGCCTCCCTAGGTGGCTGGGTCAGGAGAAAGGACGTAAGACAGAGGTGTCTGGATGGGCTACACGGAAGGGATGGAGGTCAGTCCTCATTTTAACGTCGCTGCTCCAGCGCGGGCATCTGTAGCTCTTCTTGGAAGGTCTTGATGTTGCCTCTGGAGGCCGAGGTTGCCAGCCAAAATGAAGCGGGCGGGAAACAGCTCCAAGCCCTGAGTCTGCAGAGCAGAGAGCTCTTGCTCCCTGCAAACGCGGAGGAGGAAGCAAGGGCAGCGTGACGGAGAGGCCACGCTGGCACAGGGACTCGGGTGGCACTTCTGGGAACTGTGCACTTGCCGAATTTTCGCCCACACACGCACATGTAATCCTAGCACTCAATCGGGCGGCCGAGCACTGCGTAGTGTAACGTGCTCATTTACACCATTTTGGGTTCGTGTTCTACGGCACACAAGCATGTCGTATACCATCAATGTCACAGCGACACTGTCCGCGCGTGACACGTCCACGCAATCACTTGGCAAACCGCTTCTGCGCGACCCGGAACCCGGCAGCAGGAATCGCTGCCAGACTAGACAGAAGCTTACGACACACCCGAGCCAGCCTTACTACAAGTTCCAGCAGTCCTCGAGGAGAGGACGGGACGTAGCAGCCAGAGTCCAGGGAGACTACAAGTCCCGGCAAGCATGGAGCAGGGACTACCAGCCCCAGAGCGCACCGCACAGCTTGCGCAGGGCACCCTGGGATATGTAGTTCTCGCATGAGTTACTACGCGTCACTCCGCCTCAAAGAGGAAGCATGTTCCTCTGACGGCCACCAGAAGGGAATTCTTTCGCGCTAGCAAGAAGCGCAGGAATACGAAAGGCTTGGGAGAGCCGGGGGAGCCAACCTTTGGCGCGGGTGAAGGGAGCTTGCGCATGCTCGCCGGAGTATACTGAGGAAAGCGCGCGCAGGAGGTGCCAAGTGCGGGCCCCGCCCCCGGCCCGGCGCCCTGCGTCCAGGGAGCCTGCGCGGAGGGTGGGGCTCGGGCCTCTGGGAGGTGCTCGCGGCGCATGCGCAGATCGGCGGCTTCTCTCGCGAGGACGGACGCCATTATCGCAGCTCCCCGACAAACACCACGAGAATTCCGCAGCCCACACGGTAATTGCAGCTCCCGCAGCCGGTCGCGCCTCCACTCCCCCTTCCCGCGGGGCGAGAGCGAGAGCTAGAGCGAGATCTCCGTCCAGCTCCGCTCCGCCCTGCTGCGCCAGCCGCCGCAACGGCCGCCGGCCAGCGCTGAGGCGGGGCGGGGGCCGGGTCTCAGTGTCGCTGCGCCGCGGCTTCCC